AGAGTACGAAGGCAGCCACCACCCCACAAGGGAGGCATTTGTAGTGATGGCAAGGCTGGCAGCAGGCAGCAGCAGCAGGATGCACCACGGAGCGCTCACCCCTCCCTCCTGGCTCTTGACAAGTTATAAATAAGGAATGGACAGAGCAAAGCTCCTCCTTTCCAGCAGGTTAGGACTGGGATAGGTAGACAGCTCAGCTATGCAGAGCAGGGTTAGGGAGGAGGTTGCTGCCATAGCAGGACTCTTGCCAAGCCTTTGGTGAATACATAAATTGCTCACCTACCTGTCTAGGCTACAGCCAGTCAGTGTTTCTTGGAAGACACACTGTTTTTTTGGGGGACTGGGACTGTTTTTTTCCTCCCTTTTCCAGATTGATTGGTATGGCATATTGGGATAAGGGTTTTTTTTGATTGTGTGTTGTTGTTTTTTGTCTCTTTGCCATCTCTTTCAACTTCTTCTTTTCTAAAAATTATTAGAATTTTATTATGTATATATTGAGAGAATATTATTATTTTTAACTCTTTTGTCATGTCTGAGATTTATAAAGCTAGCATCTTGCTGCCTTCATTGGGTTTATTCAATGACATAACATTTGTTTATAATTCAGCTTTATCAGAGAGAGAAAAAGGGAATTTGCCAGTACCTCTCACATTTCTAGGGTTTTCTAACCAATTTCTTAAGATGTCACGAAGTTTGGATGTCAGATATGAAGTGACCAAGATGAGGGACATTTATGCAAAGATTTCTGGAAATCAGCACCTCTGTAAAATCGTTTTGTTTGGACAGTAAGAATTTAGGCACAAAGATGAACCCTATCTCAAACTTGCAAGTCAACACGCCCACATAGCTCTCTAGAAATTCCCTTCTTTTGTATTCTGACTCCTCTAGGAGGATATCATAGAATCATATTGATATTACCATCATCTTGGCAAAGACAAATGCAAGCCTATACAAGTATGAATCAATAGAATTTCCTAAACCATTTAGGTAATATTCCCAAGAAATCATTTAGGTGACAAGATCTTTGAAGTCATTAAGAGAGGCATTAAATATTGCTCTTCTGGAATGCAGCATTACACTGGGAACTCATTTCCAGCTGTGACAGTTGTGAAATTCCCTTTCCACTCCAGAGCTATCAGATTTATTTCATTTGCAATTAATGGTTACCATTTGCTAAGGATGTCAGAGGCATCTCAGATGAACTTGGTGGCCACAAGTTTATCTAGATCAATAATAACCTATCTCTGCAATGTAAATGCATTTTTATGTGACAGTTGCATGAGGTTCACCCTCTGGCACTCAACAATAACAGCTACACATACCTTCAGCAGCACCAGGCGCTTCTCTGTCACTGGCGTGCGAGTTGCTCTGAAGCCACATGTAGAATAACAAAAATGCAGCTGAAGTTCACAACAGCCCATAAGGACTCACCTCAAGTAAGACACAGTGCACAGACACCAGGAGGATCTGACCAAAGAAGATCACCATTTCTTCAGGTTACGCTTTGCATCTCTTCAGTGGGAAGCACTGACAGACCAATACACTTGGGTAAGGATGCAAACAACCGCAAATGATCATTTCAATTTAGGTGTAATAGCAAAAGAGCCTTAGCTGTGAGCTGCTCTTTGATACATGCTGCTGATGCTCATTATCCCAAGGGGATATGGTTTATCCTGAGGGGAAATGGTTTTAAACTGAGACAGGGGAGGTTTAGGTTAGATATTAGGAAGAAGTTTTTCACACAGAGGGTGGTGATGCACTGGAACAGGCTGCCCAAGGAGGCTGTGGATGCCCCACACCTGGAGGCATTCAAGGCCAGGCTGGCTGTGGCTCTGGGCAGCCTGGTCTGGAGGTTGGCGACCCTGCACATAGCAGGGGGTTGAAACGAATTGATCATTGTGGTCCTTTTCAGCCCAGGCCATTCTGTGATTCTATGATTCTGTGATCCCAGACAGGCCAATTGACTGATAGACAATGAGAAGGAGAAGAAGTGACATAACAGTGTAGATGCTGTTCAGAGATGCAGATCCTCAGAAATGGCGCCCACTGGCTTCCTGGTAACCTTGAAGACTTTGCTCATTTCTGTGCTCTGCTGCTGAAAAGCTGTGCTTCCCATTCTCTTTACATCCCACATCAGCCCAAGTCAACTCTTTCAAAATACCAACACTTAAAAATCCTTTTCCACTGCTTTCATAGGTCACTCAGTTCTCAAATGATGCCAACTAATAGTATTGGGATGCTAAAAGGCATAATTGGGAAACAAAAGAAAAGAAATGACTGCAGTACAGGCAGAGGCTTTCCAACTGGTGGCACAGCTGTCAAACATGCAGCTATGGTGGGACCATCAGCCAGCTGCTGGTGATGGAGCTGGGAAAAGGCTGAGATGATACTTGCAGGTAGATCCCACTGTGGTCTTTGCACAGAGCCTAGGACCCTGCAACTCCTGCAGTGAAAGCCTCCTTTGCTGAGTGTAGCTGTCCTGAGCCCAGGCAAACTCTGAGCATTGTGTTCTCTCTCATGCACTTGAGTTTAGAGAACTAGGTGCCTGTTATGTGAATGTTTACTGCCAAGGTTTTACATTTGAATAGGACATACCTTTCTTTAGAAGTTAACGCTCTCAGAATGAGATTGTATACAGTTCAGTTGCTTAAATCAACAACTTGCATGGCTTTGTAGATATTTAATGACCAGATACAGGGAAAATTTTATCCAGGCATATATAACTTGCTGTCTATTTGCTTTTTTGCGACTAAAGACTTCTGTTATATGTTTAACAGAAGTCTATGGATGTGGACTCACACAATTCAATGTACTTTGAGCTTATGGGGAAGAGGAAGTGTCTAATTGTGAGCTGGCACGTGATGACATTATAGGCATGTAAACAGTGTTATGTCCTAGTTTTCCTATTGCTTCTCATGCCTGGGATTGGGTCCTGGCTGCTCAGTGCCAGAAAAATCACTCAAAATCCAAATAGAAAGTTAACTTCCTTGTCTTGTACTGTAAAATTTATTTGTGTAGCAGGAATAATGTATAGACACCAGCATCCTGTATCAGAAATGTGTTGTAAGCCTGGTAAACGCCTTAGCTTGGCTTCAGTATTTACTAGATCTGGCACCCTGTATACCCTTTGCATCCACATATTAACACTTAATTACCTTGTCACATCATTAAAACCAGGCACATTTACATTCCGGAGAGGTGCAGTGGAGGTGAGTCAGAAAAAGATGAAAGAATGGTTGTTTTGTCCTTGCATCAGGAATATTTCTGGGAAGTTCCCCTCTGGCAGTGAGGTAATAGGATCAAGTCTGTCCCTTTGTTCAGGATCTTTTCAGCAGCAGGGTTGGACACTGGCTCCTCTGATACTTTCTGTCTTTCTGAAGGCTAAAATTAGTGCATGACTGAGTTTTGAAGGTTTGTAATGAGGAGCAATATTTACAGGTCTGAAGGGCGAATATCTTGAGGACCATTTTGTGCACAAGCCATGAAACATGACCAAAGAAAGTGGAGCTTTCTTTTGAAGTACATCAGGAACAATTTGAATAATTAATCTACTAAAGCCTAGACTCGTGCCACCTAATGATGATAAATTAACTGGAATACCTCAGTTAACCTCATGATGGACATAAGGTCAATCAAGAGAGATTTTGGATATGCTAATCTGCATTGGCTAGCCTTTAGTTCCTTCATGTTAGCTGTCATGAATTCAGAGATGAGCACTTGAATTAAATTATCTTCTACTAAAAGCCGGCTTGTATTCTCCACTGAGCAGAGGATGAGCTGCTGCTCAAGCAGATCAGCTCTCCAGTTCCCTCTGCATCTTTCTGAGAGCAATACAGATCTCATTCCTAAATGCTCATTCTTGGTCCATCTGCTATGGAAGTTTAGGGTCTGTGCTGCAACCCAGGTTGGGGGATTGATCCACCGGCTTCCTGGTGGACAGGCCCAGGTAGACTGCCCTCAGCTGGTACTGCCACCAAACCTGGAGCGGTGCCGAAAGCTATCCCAAGGGGACAAAGAGCACCTGTAGTAAAGCTGGAAACTGAGTTACACCCTCCCAGATTTCACATCACTCTTTTAACCAAGCCATCTTTCCCCTTCCTCTGTTCTTCCCCGCTCTCCAGCCACAAACACGTGAACTGCAAAAACCTCACACTGGCAAAAAGCAGTTTCACTTGCACTTTCTGCTTGTTTTCTGAATTGCAGCAGTAGTAAGTAGAAGGTAGGGCTCACTTCACAGATTTGGTCACACAAGCTGTATTTGAATTAGTTGAATCTTTTGAGTTCGTATTGATAGATTGGGAATCTGAAAAACCATCTTATCTCTATGGCTTTCACCATTTCTGCTTGCAGTTCTGCTTGTGACTTTAGTGAGAAAGGCTTTCTTGACAGTTGTTCAGATACCATTACTGCAAAATAATATCCTGCATGCAGCTCTGTGCAGACATTCTCCTTGCACAACAGCTACTTTGGTACATTAGAATTTGCAGACAAACCCTGAGCCAAGGTGTGACATGTAAAGAGAGCTCCTGCTATGTCAGAACCAGATCACAGATACTTTCTTTTCCAGCATGTTCTTGAAAAGAATCCTACCTCTGCCACATTGAGGATGTAGGGAGATTCCAGAGCTGATTTTAGACTGGAAAAACTGCTACTATGCTGGACAAAAAGCGACCTGTAAACAGGTGCTATAATAGGAAGAAAGACCTTTAGCACCGCATGAAAGGAGGTACTAGTTTGAAGAGATTATAATAAATTGCCAAATAGCCTGGGCAAGTGAAACACATTCAGCCTCAAAAACCATTAAAGAACAACTGAAAAAAAAGAAGTTTTGATCCTAATTAAGAGAAGCTTCTTATGTATGGTAACTCATGTAGCATCTGCACTGTTAAAACAAGGCTAATACCTCGACAGAACTTCAAGGCACACTATTTATGAGTTTTTATAGTGATGCCCATTGTAGCACCTAGCAAACATGAAAGAGCTTAACTTTACGTCATCACTGTGGGGCAGAGTGTGTTTATTAACCCTATTAAACAAATGAGGAAAGAGGAAGGTTAGGTAACTTCCAGGCACTCGTGAGGGACTGCAGCTGTGTCTTCTGGCTCCCAGTCCGGCACTGGGATCAGCAGCCCTCCTGCCTCCCCACTCTGCATGAAGACAATGGAGATGGGGTTCTTGTTGGACTTTACCTCTTCACAGGAACAATGTTTGCATTGTGAAACCCCTTCATACTCACCTTTGCTGCCAGCTTGTTGGAACACCATCTTTGTCTCTCCTCTGAGCAGCTCTGCTGCCTGCCCACTCTCCTCCATCTACTCCAAGGACACCATGGGCCTCACTTCCATCTCACCTCATGGCATTGACCTACTTACTCTAGAGAGAAACAGGCTCTTTTGTTTTCCTCCTATGAGATCATTGCCCCATTTTCTCTCTGGATAAATATAGGAATTGTGGTGAGAAACCTCAGCACTGGGAAATTAACCCAGACTGTTTAATGCTGATAGCATGGAGAACAGTATTGAGCACTGTGGGGGAAAAAAAGAAAGAAGTGATGCCATTGTGTCTACACAAGTAGCTTCCAAATTATACCTTGCTGTAGACTCACCTCTGTCAGAAAAGCCATCCCCAAGAGTAGTATAGATCCCCAAATTTCCAGCAGGCTTTCTCCACATTCTTTGGAGTCTGCTGATTGAATGTGGGGGTGATTTGTGTGGTGATTTGTGTGGCTAGCAGAAGTTACCTGCTGTCCTGACATCTCCTTCCATCCAGTCCCTCCATCTGAAAATAGCAAGTGGGGGAAATGTCATGACCCTGTGAAGGCCTGGATGACTGCCCACAGTGAGATGATTTATGGGATCTGCATGTGACTGCCAGCACTTGTAAAATATTTCAACTGTGTCTATGAGGCTTTGCAATAAAGACCAGCCCTGTTGCTCTTCACTGACTCTGGTTCTTTCTATTTAAAGAAGCCTACACTACAGCTGGAGTGCCATGACACAGAGTGAAAACCTTTCAGGCCTGGCATTAAAAAGGAGAAGGCACAGTATGTGGAAAGAAAAAACAATCCTTTCCCTTCCACCAACCAAATTATTCTTCTGAGTAACCCAACTGCACTGGAGCAATCACCTTGAAGATTTTGCTGTGGCCTTCCAAAACATCATTTGCCTTTGTTTTGACATCAAAAGCTAATATTAAATCTTACATAGTTCCTTCTGAAGGTTTCTTCTCTGCCTAGCTCTTACTCAGTCTCTCCTTTCCACTGCCAGGGATGATGTGGTACAAGCAAGACATGCAGGAGGCAAGATGAACATGGGTTAAGACCCTGGTGTTGAGTCAGAACTCCTGTCATCCTTGCAAGTAAGGGCTTGTACACATCATGGAAAGGATGCAGCCTGGTAAGCCCTCACCATGTACACAGGACTGAGTAAATTTGCCAGTTCATTTGCAGATCCTTCTCTGGAAGGGTTGTGAAGTGAAAGACAAGTGTGCCTTTGCAACTGTGGCTGCCCCAGGCTGCTGGAGTGCTGCACTGTACTACACTTCTGTTTCTGAAAATGGGAATAACTCGGAGTCACCTCAGCTCTGCCTACTCCTGCTGATGCTGACATGGTGCAGCTGGAGCTCCCTCCTCTCCCCAGCCAGGTTAGTGGTTCACATGGGCATCTTCATGAATCACACAGTGCCCAAGAAGCCTCCTCCAGCTCCTGCAGGTCCTAGGGCAGATCACGTGTTCACAGGCTGTATGCTTTGGAAATAAAAAGTAGACATCAAAACCCAAATTTGAGCGCTTGACAAAACAGCCTGAGCCTCAGAAGTGCTGAGCAACCTTCCCCAGTGGAGGAGACCTGGTTTTAGCTGACTAACTGTAAGCATTCAGTTACCCTTCACTTCTCTGTGTGCTCATCTGCAAAGTCGGGATCATTATATCTGACTCCCTCTCCAGGTATTTGGAAGCTAATTTAGTTAATGCTTGTTAAGCACTTTAAGGTCTTCAGATGAAAGGAGCCGCAGATAGGCAAAGCACTGCTACTACTATTAATTATTTCTATTGTGCAAGTAGACATGAAAGCAGCAAAGGTGGTGATTACTTGCTTCCTTTACAAGTGGCAAGACACAGAGCAAATACACAGACAGAGACCCTCCCTGCCCTGCAGCGCTCCTAATCTCAGCAGCCAGATAAACCAGACAAAGGGCAGGGAAAGGAGCATCAGCCCAGGGAAAGGCAGTGCGTGCAGTGACTTACTGCACACGTATTTTTGGCAACAGCTGCTTTTAAAATGTGCCCTGTTAGCCAAAAAGGACGATATTGTCTTTCTAGGGTACTAAAAGTCATAAGTCGGGCTCTCAAGAAGATTTTCTATTTCCTTTCAAGAGACAGTAAATCTACTTTATTTGACGTCTAACTTTTGAGCAAATCAGATTTTCAAGATTTTCTCTGCAGCCAGGAAAAGTGAAAACGTTTCACAGACAAAGAAATGCTGACATTTTCAATATGCAAGTTTCAGTTTGGAAGCATCAGGCACATTAACAGCACCACCAGTTCACTGCCAGTTGGCTGCTGTGCAGGAAGGACATGTGTGTGAAGGACAAACTGGATGGCAGCTTGTCCTCCCTCCCACAAGCCCAGTGAGTTCATCACCTGTCTTGGATAGACAAGGAGGCTGTGACAATTTGCTCTCTATAGTGATGAGACTCTGCAGTGATTTGTTCATTTATCTAATGCCTAATGCAGGCAGACATATGGAGGAGAGCAGAGCAATACCAAATATCTCACAGCCGGATGTTGAAATGTGGCTGCAAAAGGACTCAGTGAGAAGCAGAGCCAGTGGTGCTGTGGGATGGGGATGCTGGGGTGGGGTCCGCTGATGGAAACCATCACAGCTTTCCTTCAGAGCAAGAGGATCATGAAGGCAAAGCTTGGGCAAGGGGGCACCAGTTGGCACCTGCCTGCTTCTCCTCCTGCAGGGATGGCTTCAACTCGTCTGTGGAAGGAGCTTGTAGCTGGATCCACAATGTCCCGGGGGAATCCAGCATCCTCTGAACTCCTGCTGTATGAACCCAAGTGGTTTTCCAGTTTGCTTTATCTCAAGTAAAGGCACCCAGTTCATTTGATACCAGTTGGTGAACATGTCTGGGACAACATCAGATCCATTTTTTGGTGAGCTGTGTGAGGAAGATGCCTGAAGCTAACACCAGATATGTGCTGTTATAACAGTTCTTAAAAGAATCCCAGCCTCCTTCATAACCAGTGCTTATAAGGAAGTGGCACCAATGTTTCTGCAAGGTCATAGGTGGATGTATCCTTACCTCATAACAGCCATACACCACAATGCAAGCATCATAAGGAGATGAAAATAGCTTTAAAAAGCTGAACCAGCTGTCCACCATGCACTTCTTCAACTTTCTGCATTACATCCTTTAGCTTGCACTAGGCTGAACACTGACGATGCATTTCTTGGCTAAATAAGATGCAGGCACAAAAACCTGGGGAAGAACAGGGTGAGATGTGACTCCTGGAGAAAGCCCTCCAGGTTTTCATTTTTTAAATGTGTGTGGATTCATCTTTCCGAGCTCTTTTATGACCCTGTCTCCACCCAATATCCTCCCACTCTGGATTCTTTCCCAGTCTTTGCAGACCTGCCATCATGGCAGAGTTAAATCGCATCCTGCCCTTACGTCAACTTTGGCCCATGTCCTAAGAAAAAGAGCCAAGAAATGAAATCAGTGTATGCCAGACTCTTTGTTCATCTTTTTTAAGTCTTCTCCATGCTGGCTGTGGTACAGCAGTAGGGCTGAGCCATGGAATGGGGACCAAAACCCACGGCAGCACAGAACCACCTCTATGGACATGACACGGTGATGGGCACAAAGGGCAGTGCAGCTGCTTCTGAGCCGCACTACTGTGCTGCTGTCTTGTCTTCTCTCTCTGATATATCACAGTCCTTCCCAAAACCACACAGCCACAGAATCTCTGGAGTCACCTGGTCCAAGACCCTCCTACAGCAGGGCCACCTGGAGAGGCTGCTCAGAATCATATCCAGCCGTCTTTAGGGATGGAGATGATATGCCTCTAAGGATGAGGAGATGTGTGAATACATGGAGACAGGCAGGCCACTCAATTTCAGAAGGGACCTATAATTATACCTACTTTCAGTATCAAATTTTACACAACAAAAAAGGTGCCTACAATCTACCTTCTACCTTCACCCTCTGGAAAACTCCTGAAACTGCCTTCCAGTGGTGGTGACAGAAACAGCAAAGTCTAATTAGCTTGAAGATGGAGATTGCTTCATTTCTCTGAAAGTTCTGTGATGCAGTTGTCTGTGCAATCAGAGAATCACTTTTAGAAGCCAAGCACTTTGGAAAGTATTGCCCTAATTGCCTTGGGCCGTTCTGTTAGAGGTGGCATGTAAAGATGTAAAATATCCTTTTGACATTCTGTTGGCCCATACTAACCACTCCAGGGGCAGAGGAGATGCACTGTACTCTCTTCAACCAGCTGGAAAAAAAACAGACAGATCTCTGGACTTGAAGAGCTGATGCATTTCCAAAGGCTCACCCATTTTTTCCCACATATATCTATTTCTCCAATGCAGGCTTAAATAAGCAGTAAGTAGATGCTGGCAAGCAGTAATTCTGCCTAGAAACCTGGCCTTGTTTACATGTTTGAAACATCACATCACAGTTACACCAGCACAATCAGGATTGATTTTCTTTTTTTTTCTTTTGGCATCAAACCAGATGGGGACACTGGAAGGCAGGACAGTCCCCTCAGAATAACAAGACACCAAGTGATCACTCTCAGCCTACAGGCTGATACGCTCTCCTCTCTCTGCTTCAGCTGCTGTCACAGGTGCCTCAGCCTCAAACTAGGTTTTCAATTTCCCCAGTCAAGTTAAAGGTTTCTCCTTCTGACCAGAAATATCAACCTGAGCTACAGACATCTTCCTTCCTGATAGTGTCAAACAGTTTTCAAGCACAATCAGCAATTTTTAACAAAAAAGAGATTTCATAGAATCATAGAATGAATTGGGTTGGAAGGGACCCCAAGGATCACCAAGTTCCAACTCCCCTGGCACATGCAGGTACTGGATCAGATTGCTGTGAACAATCCAGGGATTGTTCCAACCTGGCTGTGAACACCTCCAGGGATGGAGCATTTACAGCCTCTCTGGGCAGCCTGTTCAGCACCTCACCAGTCTCTCAGTAAAAAACTTCCCTTTGACATCAGATCTAAATCTTCCCTCCTTTAGTTTAAAACCATTCCCCCTTTTTCTATCACTATCTATCCACGTAAAAAGTTGACTTTCCTCACATTTACAAACTCCCTTTAAATACTGGAAGGCTGCAGTGAGGTCTCCATCATCCTGTCTTTGTAGGGGAGGTGCTCCAGTCTTCCGATCATCTTCATGGCCCTCCTCTGGACCCTTTCCAACAGCTCCACATCTTTCCTGTGTTGAATGCCCCAGACCTGGACACAATACTCCAGCTGGGGCCTCATGAGGGCAGAGTAGAGGGACACATTCACCTCCCTCGCCCTGCTGGCCACTCATCTTCTGATGGAACCCAGGATGTTATTGGCCTTCTGGCAGTTTCTGTAACATATTCCCAATGTTCGCTCCTCATTAGTGACGGCTCTGCGAGAGAAAGATCAAGTTAGGAAGAGAGAGGAGGAATCAGCATAAGAAATACCATTTCTCCCATTTAACCAGGTAACCAGGGGTATTTCCAATGGATCCTGTTTTTAGCTCCTCATTCACCTGCACTGAGCACAGACTGGGACAAACCCCAGTGAGAAAACACAGGGGTGAGAAATGCCTCTCAGCCAAAACCAGAAAGTAGTGTTGCATGAAACCAGCAAAACGAAAGCACAAACCTCTAATTATTTTAATATTGCAGAGCGACGTTGTTGCTCGGTGTGAGGTGCACAAACAACCCCTGGCCACAGGTCATGGTTCACTAGCATTTCAAAAAACAGGTGCACTGGCACCATGCTTTCCCTGGACAAAACAGCTGGGTAACAAAATAAAAGGAGCTTTGGAATAAAACCAACATGCATATATCCACACAAGAGGTGGGTAATTGCTTTGCTGGGTGGTCTTTGCCAGATGTCATTTCAGTACTGTTCCCAACACTCCAGAGTACAGGAGATCCTATGCAGAGCATCAGCTGTGCAAATCTAGGGTGCTCTGGGCACAGAGACTGATAGCCACAGGGCTCATTCCCAACAGACTGTCTCCTGGTGGTGACATGAGCGTCCCTAGAGGCAATGATGTGCCAGAGGGTGAAAACCTGTGCTCCTGATACTCCTGGATACAGGCAGGCCTGTTAGCTGGTGCCTGCCCCAGAACAGTAGGGCCAGCTGGGGCTCAATGCCCAGCCCACAGACCTGCTCAGGGCCAGCTCACCTCTCCTGGCAGCAGTTTGACTGGGCACAGTGGTTCTTCCTCAAGAAAACCTCCTTTTCCTTCAAAGTGTCATGGGAAGCAGCAACAACAGATTGTTTGTGCCCTGGTCCCAAAGAGGAATACACTGAACTGAGTGGAGCATCGCTGTGCACTTGGGATGACTCTCTGACTTCACTTGGAACTTATACTCAAATAAATAGCAGCAGAACTGCCTGGCTCCTTTTTACACAGAGTATCCACAACAAAAAAAGCATTTTCTGATTAGTGCTGCATCTGCACTCCAAGTGGGACACATCTATTAATAGAGTAAGTGGGCAGTCAGATACGCCCTTCAGAAACGCATGCGGCCGCAGATCTTCAGTTTCTAACTCACACGTTGCACCACCCAGGGAAACTGTAATGCTGGATCTGTTCTCATGCCTAGCTTGATGAACAGGAGCATTTGCATATTTACATCTCTTCTCTACATGTGCTATAAAATGAAACCGGAAAATTAACTAAGAGTTTTTGGCTAAAAGGATAGAAATAAAACGAGGACCAGAGCTCATGCACAGTGAGTCAATATAATCAGGAGGCATCGATCAGTGGAACACAGAATGCTTTCATTGCCTTCAAAGTCGATACTGCAGAGGGAAAAATAGATGTACACAATTGTAAACTAAGATGATCAGGGGGCTGGAGCACCTCCCCT